AAGAGTGAGTCGTATGATAGTGGTCAATAGGTCAAACGAAAGCTTATGACAAAAGAAATATAAATATAGATAATCTAGCTACTTAACAGTTATATAATAAGAATATATATATATATATATATATATATATATAACTCACTTCCGTGAAGGTAGTGTGCTCTCTGTGATACACATAGGTCCTCGAGTGCAATACTTATGCATTGCTGAACAGCTTAAAACTAATCTAAAACATATGTTCTCATTGTTTGAAAGTTTAAACTGATTTTTCATGCTAGGACGAAACAGCAGTTCAGTGCTTTCAGGTTTTCCATGGTGGTTTAGCTTTAATTGACTAGTGAACTCAATTATTAAATTAATCTAAAAACGTTGTGGCGACTGTTAAATTTTATTGTTTATATCACTAGCTGACCCTAATTAGATCAATCAATAGAAAAAGCTAGGAACCATTGGATAGCTATTTCATCCTAGTATGAATTCCCCAAGTAGTAGACATCCATGAAAGAAACAGGTATCAAACTCAGAATCTTCAGATGTGGTAGCAGGAGCACAGCTTCTAAACTGTTGAGTCAGTAAACAAACATTGACATTTTTTAATTCAATCAATTTTCCATTTGTTATCAATCGTCATCAAAAAACTCATTTTCATTTTGAATAACAACTACGATATAGCTGATGTAATGTTTACTTTTCATCATCAAAACAATGACTTCGGTAAATTGTTTATTAATTTACCCAGAATAAGATTACTAAAAATGAATTTATTGAGAAACAGAACTGATTGTTCTGCGTAATCTTTTTTTATTCCGAAATTGAGAGGACGAAAAGCGGACGCTCAACTCCACCCACGTGGAGTTGGAAAACCCTGATTCCAAACTAATGGTCCTTATGGGCTCCAGGATCCTGAGAGAACAAACGGTGTATGAACCATTTATTGGTCACCGACTACTATGAAACCCCATCTCTCAACGTTTCTCCACTGCCTCGTGGATTAAACCTCTAGGTCAAGTGCTCGGGGAGTGACACCCTAAGAAAACAATCTGATTCGGTTTGGGCACCCGGACAGTATCACAGCCACCACAAAAACCAAGTAACTTGTATAGCGCAAATGTACTCGGTGCCTCTTTGTATCAATATTTATGTGTTCACATAAATATAATAAATAAATATATAACTAATGATAATTATCTTGATGAAAATAGACTTTATGTGTTATGATGACCTTTGAATTTAGTTTCATATTACTGAGTGACTTTTCGTTAAACGATCACTGAAAACAAGACAGACTGTTATATGAATGAGGAATTCCATATTCCAAGATGAAATGGTTGCTCAGTATCACCCTACTTTTTATTGGTTGTTTAACGAAAATCAATCCATGATATAGAATTTTATATAAACTGTTAGATAAATGAAAAAAAGATTTTAATACTTGAATTCGTGAGTCAATTTAAACCAGACCACCATCACAAACCTGAAAGGGTCGTGCAAGATCATGAATCGATTGATGTTAAGCACTAACACTGTTAGATACCGGTCTAGAGGTTAGGTGTACACAGACACATAAGACCTAAAGTCCTAGGTCCGATTTCCATATACGGTACCATGAATACACAGTGCTGATAATTCCCGTACTAAAGCGAAATAACCATACAATGCTTCTAGGTTTTCAATAGTTATCTAGCTTAGATCAACTCATGAATTTAACTATGAAAAATAAAATAAATAAATACACATGCACACCTACATCAGTATAGATCGATTTACTGACATACACAAAGTAAACATTAACTTATTTAGACAATAACAAAAACAACAAAAAAATTGTTTTTTTTTTTGTCATTTTCTCGCTTTTTTTTCTCTACGCTACATAAAAAAAAACAAATACCTACAAAAAAATTTTATGAAAAAGAATTTTTTCACATATTTTTTCCATATTTATTTACTTATTTTTCGTCAAATTTTACTCTTTTTTTATAGTTTAACTGACTTAAAACAAAAAAAAACAAAAAAATGTTTCTATGAAATATTTCATAAAAGAAAAAATTGTTTTTTTCATAAAAAATTATTGAAAAAGAAAAGTTTAATAAAACAGGTTTATAGAATATAAAAGATTGAAGAGAGAAGAAAAACCCACTTAATTTTTGTAATGAGAAACACATACACACCCACACACGACCCTTTGGTATAATCGATTGTAACTGAGGTGCATGTTTTCTTTGTTATTATTATTATTATTATAAAAAACAATAAAAAACAGTATTATACTCTGTCTGAGTAAAATAATAATAATAATAATAGTAATAGTAATAATGATTTGAATGGTCCGCCTAAACTGATGACAGATTTAAAACAATGAATGATTCAATATGTCATTTAACTTATTTTACAATTGATCTTTTTTTTAGTTTCGTTTTATTAATATTTGAAAAATAGTTTATAATATGATTGAGTAAACAAGAGGTATTTTAGTGAACAAAAATATATAAGTGATGAGAATCGAATGTATTTGAATATAAAATTACAGAATGGCATTGTAAAATCTGAGAACCATATAGGAAATAGTTGATTTACGAAATGTCAGTTTATCATTTCAGACTTGATTGATCCTTTATTTCCACACAGATTATACTTTGTTTTCATTCTCTTCTCTTTAATATTCTTAAACTTCTGCCACCAAGCATTTCACTTAAGATTAATGACACGTACTACTTATATCTGTTGATATCAGTAGCATACAATGCAGTATTTCGTTTTTAGAAAAGAAAATTGCAAATGTGCATTGTATTCACTTACTTGTTTCTAAAAAAAAGAGAACCAATTATTTTTATCAGAAAGGGTTTTGTGGAGATTTTAGTAATTTCAGTAGTTGAACTGATATCTCACAACAGATCTGGTTGAACTCGACTGGTCACGGCTTCTCACTAGAACTCCAGGAAGTGCCTCTTGAAGTCAGTCATTAGTGAGCAGATGATTATTATCAGAAGGGGGTATTGTGGAGATTTTAGAAATTTCACTGGTTGAAATTATGATTCAATTGAAGCTTGCGCTCGAGACTGATAGGTCCAGGGTTTGAATCTCGCAGCAGAGCGGGATCGTGGATGCGCACTACGGGGGAGTTCCATACTAGGACGAAACAGCCATCCAGTGCTTCCAGGTTTTCCGTGGTTGTCTAGCTTCAAATGACTCATGCATTCAACTATTTAATTACTATAATATCCACAAAAACCCGTTATCATAATACTTATAAAATGTTAATCAGCTCGATGAAACTAGTCAATAAGTAATTGTAAACATCAGTCCCAAGATAGTTGGCAACTGTATCAATAGAACTCGATCAAAATTAAATAGACTAGATAAACAGGAAAATGATCATTGCTGAGTGATTAATCAACTGTTAATTACACAATACAAATGTATTTATAATAGTTTTTGAATAACATTACCTAATGACTAGTAGTGTTATCTTACTGCTTAATCTGTTCATCTTTAAAGCTTATTTCGAACTGTAGGCTTGTTAGTTGAGTTGTGAATTCACCATAGCATAGATAGATGGTGCCTAGCAGTGAAACATAGGACTCGTCAGTTGGATGTACTTGCATCCCAGAGTTGATGTTCACATCGAGACTCTAACCGAGCACTTTACGTGTTCTGGATGAAAATTCTAGCAACCATCATCTATATTGTAATGCTTGTGATTTAAGGCAATATCGAAGCAATCTGTTCAGGATCAACATATGATAATAAAAGACTAATCAATTACAGTCGTAAACATCAATGGGAAAATTCAAACAACCAATACAAAATAAGTTAGAAGTATTCATCATTAGATAATTTTACTCAAATGGATTATCACAGTCAAAAAACACTTATTTAACCTATTTGAAAATCTCATCACTTCAAAACAGATTATTACTAATTAGTTAATTTCATAACAGTTCATTCTCTTTCATAATCGTAAAATATACCAACTGAAGAATTTCATAAATTCTTTTAGTGACTATATTGGTACATTTTCAAGGCCATCTAAAGGTAAGGCCATCATCCAATAGCTCATTAGTGATATTTAATCTCTGATTCATTATGTAAGCATTGGTTTAGTTGACAAAGTAATAGGAAACTAAGCAGCATTAAACACCATTTCAAAAGTTGTCACATCCAGTTAAGTTAGTTACTCTTCCGTTCATGATTGAGATTTCCACATTGATTCATAAATGAGATAAGTTATTAACGTCAATAACAGGATAATCCATTGCATTTCAAATTAAATTGAAACTCATACCTATTGCACAAGTAAGCGACTGTCCGTGCTCAGTAATTAAGTGAATATCACAATGGTGTTTGAGACGAATCGGTACATGGTTCAAATTCCAGAGTAATCATCGACTCGGAAACAAGTATATCTGCCTGACGAATTCCGTTGTGTCACAATGTCGATATTGATACAATCTACATAGGATACCCATATACCAACCAAGACCGTTCGAATTTAAGTAGAAAATATCAAGAACAGAATAGTCTGATTCATTTTAAACTGAATTAAAATGTAATGCATGTTTAATTCTTAATAATGAGTGAATTCTGTCGATCAAGTTGTAATATTGTTATTATAAGGTTTACAGGACGGATTGAACTTAGTTAAAAAGATTTTGAAAACCAAGGATCTCTGAACATTTGTTTCATCCTAGTATGGGATTCTTTAGCAATGCTAACACATGACCCCACTAGGAACTGAATCCAGAATTTTCATACTTTGAATAAATCACTCATCTTTTAAATTACTAAGTTGACGTCCAACGGTTTGTATTTCTAAATTGAATTATTTCACTATATTACAGAACCATCTTCCAATGCTCTTGCTGGGTAACTACCTAACACACAGCATTGCTGAATTCCACTAGTATATTTGTATCCACATTTATTTTAGATAAATAATTTTTGGTATTGTCTAATACTTTCGTTCTTCATTCTCCTTTCCTCATCCAAAAAAAACATATCTATAGGTATATGTCAGTACATCAGACGTACAAATGCATGCAAATTATCATCGTAAAGATGCTGTTATTATACAAGAGGGTTTTCAACGATTTCGTGCAACAGAAAATTGTGGTATTACCAAATGTCCATTCTATAAAGAATGTACCACACATTTTCATTGTCGACGTAATAATTGTCATTTTACATTTAAAAATAAAGCTGATATGGGTAAGTTGGGTTTTTTTCGGTAAACAATATTTTGTATTATAAATTCTACACGAATGTATGTTTTGAGAAACGATCGACAATTAAGTAATAGTGAGTCAATTCTTAATAACCTACCTAGAACTGTTTACTGATAAACACTGTACTTCAACCATTATGACTACATTAATAACCATAATGGTTAACATTTCCAAAGTAGACTAATTTAGCTGGTAAGCAAAATATTCACACGAATTAACTTGTCGCCTAAATACCTGATAGTAATATCACACATTACTCAAGTAAGATCATAATCACTCGATGATAATGATGAGTTATACAAGTTTGATATTCAGTGGTTGGAATCATTCATCAGTATGTAGTATGTATACTATCTATAGGTCAGTGAGGTTTTAGTAAGTTATGTCGGCCTCAATTGGCACTTTAACGGTAACCAGTGTCATATTTTTAAATTCTAAGTGTTGACTGAATCCTGTCAGTCAGCTCTTCATTCTGTATCGCTTCTAAGCAACCACTTCCAACTAAACCGGACATAAAAAAATACACACAAAGTTTAGCCATTCAAATCAGAAGACCTATCGTATTCAATTGTCATTAAGGCAAATATAATAAGCTTTGATTTTGGGATAGAATGAATGTATCAACACTGTCTATACGAACTAAAAGCTCTTAGCTTGTTATCATCATCTAATTATAAGTGAATTAGCAGAGGTATATGTATCAGTCATTAGTTTAAAATAAAATTCTCAGCGAAACGCCAAAACGTACCATTTCTTTCACACGTACTTTTCTGCGTAGAGATATACTACTTATTAATAGTGAGTAGAATAAGTGTATAATGAAATGAGTTGCACATGCGAAAATTAAAACATGTAATTATTTACATTTGACCAGTATGAAAAAAAACTACGTTAAACTCTATTCTTATCTCTGTTCCTCACTAGAAAAACATAAAGTACATCATCAGAAAAATGATAGATTTGCACAAGACGGATTTCGTCGTTATATAAAATGTGAAAATTGTGATTTTCCCGATTGTCAATATTCTGGCGTAATAAACCATATTCATTGTATTCGACCAGGTAAGTTTAGGATTTTATTTTTAAAAAAAGGTACACTATGCAAACTAGCTAATAAGCATTCGTTTTTTTAAAAAAAATTATACAATTATTGAAAACCTGGGAGTACTGGACAGTTGTTTTGTCCTAGTATAATAGTGCTAGGTTTGAAGCTACCACGAGTTCACTTAATCTGCGAGCGAGAAACAAGACTCAGTGACCAAAGACTAGTAAGCTACCTATTGATGTGTCCCAGCCCCGCTATCTAGAGGGAGAAGCTCAAGATTGGAATGGGAAGTATATTCTGCAAACAGCCAGAAAACGAGCGACCACACAAACACAATTTAAAAACGTATATGTACAGATATACATAATCGATATTGCCATGGAGCTTTTAAATATTTAATCGGTAAGTTCGTCAATCGACTATGTGCATGGGTAATGAGAAATGCCCACGCATACATCTGCATACAAGCTCCACAAGATAAAATTACAAAATATGAGTTTTGGGGATCTGTCGTCCCCAAAAAATAGTCTTCATTAGTGCCCATTTACGAGTTTTATTCCCTGAGCTGCATCCACCTCAGAGAACATAACTTCATCAAAATCACATTTCATTATTAATCCTTAATTGAACTGATTGTTATAGCTTATGCTGATTCTCTTTCATTGTTTTTTTTTGTTTTAAAAATCATCTTATCAGGATGTGATTATGTAATACATTCATCTAGTCAAATTATGTCACATAAACGAAAACATGATAGACGATTTGCTACATTTTCACCTAAATACATAAATATGTTATGTCATGATGATGTAAATCAAACATTTTCTCCATCTAATCAAACCAATAATAATAATAATGATTTAATCAGTACTAATGAAAATAAAATCAATAAAGTTGATTTCAATATTGATCTCAATACAATTGATCCATTAGAAATAAATACTCCTATAAATAATTTAAAACAATCATTTCATAATGAATTTAAATTATTACAAACAGATTTAAATAGTAATTTTAATGATTTAATTACTACAAATAATTTTTTAAATAAACTATCAAAATTTGTTGCTATGTGTATATGTCGACGTGAAAATTGGGAACAATTATTAAAAATCAATAATTTTGATTATCATTTAAATGATGAAAATTTATTATATAAAAAAATTGATAAAATTCTTATATCTATATATCAATCATATAATCAATATTTAAATAAATGTTTTTGGCCAGGATGTAATTCAAATAATAATAGTAATATGATTGATACTACTACTACTACTACTACTACTACTAATAATAATAATAATAACAATAATAGCAGTAATAAGGATAATGACGATGATAATGTAAAACAATATGAAAACTCTTCGAAAACTTGGTGTAAATATTGGTTATCACATTTATGGGAAGCATGTTTATCATTTTATGCTTATATAGAATGTAATCAATCGAATTGCCCGATTCAATCCAATAATAATAATGATAATAATGATCATATTCATTGTCGTTTTTGGCCAAAATGTAATTTTATTAATTTATCAAATCAATTAAATTTTCAAATATTATATAAACATTTTCTTTCACATAATGAATATTTAATTAATAATTCATTAAATTATATTGAAAATCAAAATCAATATCATGTTACCATAGATACAACATATAATCATTTAATAAATCCAAAACGTAGAGGTAGACCACCAAAATATGCTAAACATATATATGTTCCACATATTAATCCACCTGAAAATTTATGTATAGATAACAAATATACTATTGATTTAACATATTCAATGTTTTTTGATTCAATAGAAAATAATATTGATCAAAATGTATTATGTAATCATGTTAGCAACTATAATACTATATTATTACGTAATAATAATAATAATAATAATAATAATGAGAAAGAACAAAATCAATTTAAACATATAAAATATGCTGTAAAATTATTTTTACCTAATGAAATTTGTCCAGATATTAATTGTCCTTATTATATAACCCATGAACAACATTATCATTGTGTTAAACCAAGATGTTATATGTCTACTAATAGATTAGATTTAATAAATATGCATCGTCGTGAATTTCATCAACATACTATAATAGAAAAAGGATTTGAATATTATGATATTAGTATTGATTGTCGTCGTCCATTATGTCATAATAATAAAATAAATAAACATTTTCATTGTATTTATCCAAATTGTGATTATACATTTATACGTGCTAGTACAATGCAACAACATTTAAAAAAACATACAGAAAATTTAAAAACTACACAAAATAAAAATCAATCAATTGTTTCTATGGCAACAAATAATTCATTAGATATATGTAAATCAACAATAAAATTAAATACATCATCAAATATAGATATTAATATGATGAATAATTCAAATAATATAAAATCAATCAATTCATTACATCCAATTGATATACATTCAGAACAATTATCTATACCATTATGTAATTATCAAAATGAAAACTTGTTAAATCATCCATCATTACCAATTAACGATAATAATAATAATGATAATAATAATAATGATAATAATAATAATAAGCATGTGACAAAGAAGGACTGTACAGAAGATTCATCATTACCTGGTTTACAACCTATTTGGACTGCTGCAATGGTTACAGCTACTAATGATGTAACAATGGTATCAATTAGTTCACCAGTGAAAATAGATTGTTCATCTGAATGTACAAATGAATGTTTATGAGATATTAATATTCTATTCAATTAATTAATAAAAATGTATATATATTTATATGTATATCTTCAAGGAGTCAGTTCATATGTTAGTTAGTATAGAATAAAATCTTGTCCAAGAATTAACTATCTATAATTAAATCACTAAAAACAGGTACGTAGAGTATACTGTCTAAATAATTTTAAATTTTATACCAGTAGTAATCAATTTCCAATATTGTGATTGTTTATAATCGAGTAAAAATATTATTCTGTTAGATTTATAGAAATAATAATTAAATTATGTACTTACTTAAAAACTTACGCCTGTTACCCCCAAGCAAGCATAGGCCGTCGACCGGTATTCTCTAACCCACTGTGTCCTGGGCCTTCCTTTCTAGTTCTATCCAATTCTTGTTCATTCTTCTCATGTCTGTCTCCATTTCTCCACGTAATGTGTTCTTGGGTATTCTTCACCTCTTTTAGTATTGATGATTCCATGTAGGGGCTTGGCTTGTGATGGGGTTGCGTGCTTTCCTCAGTATGTGTCCTATCCACATCCAGCACTTCTTACTCGTTTCTTCCTCCACTGGGATCTGATTTGTTCTCTCCCATAGTAGGTTGTTGCTGATAGTGTCTGGCCAACGGATCCATAGTATTTTGAATAGACAACTGTTAATAAACACTTGTATATTCTGGATGATGGTTTTCGCAGTTCTCCAAGTTTCCACCCCGTACAGTAGAACTGCCTTGATATTTGTATTGAAAAACTCTGACTTTGGTGTTGGTTGACAGTCGTTTTGAGTTACAGATGTTCTCTAGTTGTACATATGCTGTTTTTGTCTTGCCGATCCGCGTTTTCATATCTGCATCAGATCCACCGTGTTCATCAATGATGCTGTTCAGATATGTAAGAGTTTATACATCCTCCAAAGCTTTTCCGTCAAGTGTGATTCGATTGGTGCATGTTGTGTTGTATTGGAGAATCTTACTTTTCCCTTTGTGTATGTTGAGACCTACTGCTATTGAGGCTGCTGCTATACTGGTCATCTTCTCCTGCATTTGTTGTTGTGTGTGTGTGATAGAAGAGCCAGATCATCTGCGAATTGTCGATCTTCCAGATGCATGTAAGATGAAATCTAATTAAAAATACACACATTTTCCAATGTCCTAGAGATGATTTTGCTTTTATTCAGGAAAAGCTAATTTATATTCTAAAAACAATGATTGTACCCAATGTATTGTGGAACACTAAAGTTGCTTCATTATACACACATTATCCATGATAGGTATTCATCAGATGTTACCAATGAATATAAAAATGAAGTATTCATGTGTCAATCATAATTCGACTCTGATAAATGGGTGTTAAATGATAATTTAAGAATAAAACCATGGTGTGATAGAGTTGTTGAGTTAGAAATGCTTAAGGTTTACATAGAGCTTTCAGGTAAGTAGATACATTTTTATACCGAGTTATGATAGATCAAACCAGGCACGTTTGACCTTGATATATTTTATAACGGAAAGGAAATATATTGACCTCCGCCAAAGTAGTGTGTTATTATCAATGTACACAATCTTAAGAATCACATTGTCTAACTACGCTAGCTTATCTTCTAAGCTTTAAATATATCGAGAATATTTGTGGAGATTTTGGTATTTTCGAGGTTGAAATCACGAGTCAATCTACACTAGACCATCACTGATAACTTAAAAGCACTGAATGGCCGTTTCGTCCTAGTATTGGACTGTTCAAAAGTTCACACCCACTATCCTGCACGCTGGACTCATAACCCAGCACATTCATTCTTGCATAGAAACGCTTAACCTCTAAAGCTCTAACTCCGCATTTGCGCGCGAGACTGAAGGTGACGGATTCGAATCCCACGCGCGAAATCGTGGATTCACACTGTTGAGGAGTCACATGTTACAAAGAAACAGCTATCCAACTTTTCCTACTTTTCAATCTGTCTAATTAGGGTCACTTCATGATGTAAACTAGAAAATTTAGAAAGATTTCACAAAGCGCTTTTATTAATTACTGTTTTATAGTTACAACTCCACTAAACTTAACCGCTATTTCTATATTCATTTTATTTTATTTTTCAGAATTAACTCCGGTAGAATAACTCCCACTACTCTCAGTCAATGATGAATTATTCTTTTTCGCGCCCAATGAATGCCTATCCGTGTATTACATACATACTTGTGATACGTGAATGATATATATTCATGACTTAATAATTCATTCTTCATTTATTTCTTAAATTGTTTTTGCTTTTAATTGGTTATTAATGTCTACAAGCTAAACAATAACTAACCATCTTTTAATCAGTATTGTTATGACTACTTATTTCATTTTAAGTAGTATTATATGCATATAGCTGTGTATTTACAAGTGATGTATTTATCATAATAAAAGAATACTTTCATTATTCATAATTTTCTTTGTATCCACCGGTTCATACTGAATATATTTCATTAAAGAAAACTTATTCTATCCTTTTTTTCATTGTGAACATGTTTTTATTGATTCTTATTAAGTTCACTGTTAAAATGTTTTTTTTTTCTCTTTCTCTCGGATCTTTACTCATCGTTTAAAAGACAAACATGAAAAATTGTTCGTTTTGTATACAATAATTACAATTATCAGCTTTTCATTTGATTATTGATTCATAGTATTATTTATTCTCAAATATTTCTTTGATATCTGCTTACTACTTATTAATTAAGTATAGTAGTATAAAACAAAAGCCTTTAAATTGTAAAAGTATGTTGGCGTTAAGACGCTCTTTTTTTCCCTAGTGTTACATTTACCTATCTACCTTTATATATATATATATATATATATATATATATATATATATATATATATATATATATATATACTTTATTTACTGACCATCTCTACCGAACTGTTGCCTTATCGATCAATGGAAATAACCGAGACCTGTGCAACTATTTATTTTATTATCTGAACATAATCCCTTTGAGAATAATGAGGGGAATTATTAAATATATGACTTTCGAATTGTTCATAAAATCAATTTCGTTTTTTTTATTTTTCTTTAAAAATGTCCATTTTTCATTTTCATTCTAAAGTAACTCGATTTTTTTGTTGTTGTTGCTTTGGTTTCCACTTTTTTATTTATTCATTACCTTGTTTACAATGATTTTTATCTTCTTTTCTTTACTATAAAATATACAAAATAAATGTCCTCCGATGAAAAGAATCTCTCGACCTCCCACCGACGATAATTAAAAATCTTGATGAAGACTTTTAAATATGACACCTTTTATATATAAACAAACTGTTAAGTGTTTTAAATTTGTATAATTTACTACGAATGAATTAGATTAATTATGTGGAAAAATTTATAATCAAAGATGGGTAGTGGCTAACAGTGGAATTCAGGATGCGTGATTCGTCTTATTTGGGACTCATCAGTTAGATGTACCTGCATTACAGAGTTGATGTTCACCCCGGGACTTGAGGCAAGTACTGTTCGCTTCAAACGCCATCGCGTCACCTGCTTGTGCAATGGGGTGAAGTTGCTCATAGATCTTGTAAATTAAGGCAAGATTGAGGCAACACGCACAGGATGAACATATGTCAATAAGAGATTGATCAATTGTAGTCCTAAAGAACAATGGAAAGATACAAGTAAACAATACCAAGTGAATTTATGCAAAAATGTTTATATTTAAGTCGAATGTCAAACAAATCATGAATCAGAAAGTAACTTCAAAGTTATCTAGAATGACATCGTAAAACCAAGATGTTAACTGTCGACTATAAATCACTCAGCTATGATTGTAGGAATGAAATAATTGTGAATGAGTGTAAAAGATAAGGAGATTGAAGTAACATTTATTAGAGTAAATAATGACAACTACAGTTAGAAAATAAGTTTGGGGTTAGTTATGAGTTATAATTAGGATTTAGAATGAAGGTTTAGGATATGAAGTGGAATACCTTCGAGATAATTCATATGATTCGCATATAAATTGCCCTGATAACTGTTATTGTGTAACTCCCAACGGTATATAAGTTTCAGGAGATAATACGAAGCGCTGACTATTGTTTATTGTTGTATAGCGCAGATCAAAATTCCACAAGCACACGAATTGAGTACAAACTGAAATGAGTATATAATTAAGAAAAACATACAGGAAAGTGAATAAGCCATTGCGAGATAGATGAATTGTTCCTGACCTAGTGACATCGTCTGTCAAATAAGTCGATTGACGAGCTTAACAAAACTGAATGAATACAGACTCCAGTGTATGTGAGGTTGTGGTGTGTGCTACTGATGTCGACAGCTATAAGTAGTATGTATCATCAATCGAAAATAAAATAGCTGGCGCCAGAAGGTTAAGAAGATCGAAGAAAAGAGAACGAGAACAGAGAATGATTGGTGCGAAAACGAAGGAACAGTCAATTCTGAGACGACTGATTGATATTTTGCAAATGAAGTCATTACTGTATGGTTCTCAGATTTTAGTAAGACGTTCTGTAATTTTGCATCCAAATACATTCGATTGTTCCCATGAGTGTTGTGGTTCACTACAATGGTACAGTTAAGAATGTTAATTAACAAAATTAAGATATGCTTATCATCGGTGAATGACCTAAATTTGATAGGAAAAACATGTACAGTTTTTCAGCGACTGGTCCTCTTCTATAACACGCATAAATAAAAACAAGATAATGAATAAATCTGACGACAGAGATATTATTAAACAAATAAGAAACGTCAGAAGGGGTTTTGTGGAGATTGTAGTAATTTAAATGATCATGAGTCAACTGACTCATGGGTTCGAATCTCGCAGAGGGCGAGGTCGTGGATGCGCACTGCTGTGGAGTCCCACAATAGGACGAAACGGCCGTCCAGTGCTTCCAGGTTATCCATGGTGGTCTAACTTCAACTGACTCATGATCTTAATCATTGAATTACTACAATCTCCACAAAACCCCTTCTGATATTAATCAACATATGCTCCCTAGTGACTGGCTTCAAGAGGTATATCCTAGAGTTCTAGTGAGAAGTAGTGACCAGTGGAGTTCAACCAGTTCTGTTGTGAGATAGTAACTCACTGAAGACAATGGTGGATTTGTCGCTCAATTTCGTGGATTAGTTGGAGTTAGACATTAACACCATTAGTTGCCGGATCAGTGGTCTAGTGGCTAACTGCTCGCGCGCGAAACCAGTAGGTCCTGGGTTCGAATCACGCAGGGGGCGAGGTCGTGGATGCGCACTGCCGGGGAGTCCCACAGTAGGGCGAGACGGCCGCCCGGTACTTCTAGGTTTTCCATGGTGGTCTGACTTCAACTGACTCATGATCTTAATCATTGAAATAAGAAATGTATTGAATAGCCGTAGTAGTAGCATATTCAATCCTTATGTTAAACGAAACTTGAGTAATCAAATCATTGTAAATTCTGTTCAACTAGAAATTTAGGCGAGACTCTTACCACTGAACTGATGAAGTTTCATAAACAACTGCAAACGCCGCAGCTAGTGTTACTGGTGTCTTTATTACCCAATTTGCAACTATTATCATAATCTGATTCACTTTCAGTAGCAATCGAGCGAAGAAAGTCCCCGTTCGAGCAGACTTTTTCCTCCAACATGAAGAACAACGAAATATAATCTCACCACAGTGGTTTGCACACTTTACTGCGGTCATTTGATAACCGCAGTCGCACGTACAAAAACTTTTTAGTAATCCCATCCATTGTAGCCTCACGGGGCACAATTCAAATAATAGAACGGTAACCAATCGGTTGTTCTGTAAATTTGATGACAAAACAACAGTAATGTATTTGTGATCGAAGAAACTTGTTCAGAAAGCTATTTTATACAAATGTGATGAGAAACTAGGACTAGTGAGATCCTGAGGTAAAGGTGATGACATTGTTTTTCGAGATGTCATTCATTTCGGTGTAAGAAATTTGTATAAAGTTGATTCTTTAGCAACTAATACTTATGACAATCAATGGAATTTTATAAACTTTTGTAGCCAGTGTAACAGGCTCTCATTGATGTAGGCAAAGTCAAAATGATGCAATGGTATGAATATCACAGTGATGTTTTTCTGAAAGTCATGATAAGAATAAAACTATCAACAGGGGAGAAAAGTAGGAGCGTTGAGATTAACAATACAATCATTAGAATAATCCATATGAATGAGTTCTTTCTTGATAACTTTTTCAATTGTAAATGTTATATCCCGATGAGAATAATGAATGGTAACTTTTGGAACCCATTTATAGACCAATACTATGAATATATTTTTATCGTATAATTGCTAAATAACTAAACTATTCATTTTTGTGTTCCTCTTATTGTAAGCTTTATTTTGACCTATAAACTATTATTATACCATTTACTATTCTTAATTTATTCCTAGTTTATTAATTACAGTCTCTCACATTCACAGCCACATTTGGCTAAATCATGTACAAGTGTTGTTTCCTATTTTATGGTGTGATGTGGTCTGTTTGGTTTGTGTATAAACCCAGTATGTTTAAAATACATGATTCGTACCGCAGAGGATGAGATTGGTGTTCTGGACTCAACGGGTAGGCAGGGTTAGGCAGGAAGCAGGACCGGTTAAGACTCTAGACTGGTCGTAAGGGTTTTATGTGTCATTGGTCCGGTCGATAATTCACTGTTCTCTAATTAATGGTATAAATGCGTTATGCATCGATAGGGGCATAACTCAAGTTATAACAGTAAAAAGCAAGAAACAATAAATAACATTGAAAAATTCATAATTCAAAGAAAAATATTACGGTTGAATTTTGCCTTACATCTGTTACCCCCAATGGAACATAGGCTGCCGACAAGCATTCTCCGATCCCATTCTGTACCGGGCCTACCTTTCTAGTTCTATCCAATTCTTGTTCATTCTTCTCATATCTGTCTTCATTTCTCCACGTAATGTGTTCTTGGGTCTTCCTCTTCTCCTTTGTATTAAGGATCCCAAGTCAGGGCTTGCCTTGTCATGCAGCTGGGTGCTTTCCTATCCACTTCCAGTACTTCTTACTCGTTTCTTCCTCCGCTGGAATCTGGTTTGTTCTCTCCCACAGTAGGTTGTTGCTCATAGTGTTTGGCCAACGGATCCGACGTATTTTGCGTAGACAACTGTTAATAAACACTTGTATATTCTGGATGATGGCTTTCATACTTCTCCAAGTTTCCACCATATACTCTAGATCTGTCTTGATATTTGTATTGAAAAACTCTGACTTTGGTGTTGGTTGACAGTCGTTTTGAGTTACAGATGTTTGCCAACTATAGATATGCTGCTCTTGCATTGCCAATCCGCGTCTTCATATCTGCATCAGATCCATCGTGCTCATCGATGATGCTGTTCAGATATTTAAAGCTTTTTACATCCTCTAAAGCTTCTCCATCAAGTGTGATTTGATTGATTCATGTTGTGCTGTATTGGAGAATCTTACTTTTCCCTTTGTGTATGTTGAGACCTACTGCTATTGAGGCTGCTGCTATACTGGTCATCTTCTCCTGCATTTGTTGTTGTGTGTGTGATAGAAGAGTCAGATCATCTGAGAAGTTTAAATCATCCAGTTGTATCCTAGCTAGCCACTATATCCCATGATTCCCATCAGATGTTCACCTCTCCATAATCCAGTCGATAACCAGGAGAATAAGAACGACTGAGACTAAGCAACTTTGCCCAACACTGATTTTTTCTTTGATCGAATCTGTGATCTATCCTTTAATTTTACCTTTTTCTCATAATTTCTTCAATTTACTAACTACTTTCTTGTTCTTACTTATACAAATTTATATCTTTCCAAAAAAAAACCAACTAACCAACCGAACAAACAAAACATGTGATTGTTTAAAACAATTACCTACATAAATAATAACTAGACAAATGAAGACAATTGTATACACTATTCATCATGCTGTTACAGTATACTTAATAATTATTATGTTCTTTCTAAAAAAAATCTACAGAATAAAACCATTAATACATAGCATGGTAATCATATGAAACTATATATATATATATATAGGAGTACTTTGAAAAGTACAAGAAACAATATAAAATTTCACTTGTATTATTTTACACCACAATTTATTGATCATTTTTGTTGTTGTTGTCGTTGTTGTTGTTGTTGTTGTTATAGTTAGAAATCCTAATAAATAAACAAACTCTACTGTCAATCAGTTTATTATACAAGAAACACTTCTCATTATTATCATTCAATTAAAGAATGTACAACTTCTCTTTTCTTTCTTTTTTTTTTTAAAAAAAATTACTTGTTCTAAGTACATTTTTCAAGATTTTAGTTGTTCAATACATAACAAAACATGATGTTTCTTTTTTTTTCCTGTCTAGATTGATAATTTTAAGTTTACATAGGTGTATATATGGAATAATACCTGGTAATGTGAAATTGTGGAATTATATATTTTCATAGCAAATTCTATGAAGAAACTCTTGAAGATTTAGAATTGTTCACGTAGAACATTGGGTTTCTCAAGAAAGTGCTTAGCGTTTAGATCAATGAGCCATCATCCAACGGCGTCTATGTCTAGCCTTAGTCACTTCACAATAGTGCTCAATTTTCATCCATTGCCTAAAATAAATAACTATCTCACAACCAACAATGTTGAACTCCGCTGATTAAGACTACTGATTAGAACTTCTAGAACTACATATTGAAGCTATTCATCAACACTACTAGGTAATAGCTCAGTGGTCTAGAAGTTACGAGACCAAAAGTTCTTGGTTCAACCCCTGGATGAAGGTTCGTGAATGTACTCTGTTGACAAGTCCCATACTAGGATTAGAATACTTTCACGTTATCAGTCGCGGTTTAGCTAAGCTCAGTTAGTGTTTTAAATTGTGGAAATTTCGCAATCTCCACAAATTCATTATACTAGAAATAGAAATTTATCCATTCTCATAAGATTACGTTGATTATTTAATCAGGACTTGATGTTTGCAGAATTCGTTCGACTTAAAATCAAATTTTATTATAGAGTAACAAATCAAGTAGAGTATCATTAAAAATAATTGGATACGTTGGATGAAGATTACGTTTTAATTTTTACTCACTACTAATTGAAAATTAAGTAGTTTACAAATATCAAATCACAGTTAATCGACGAAAATGTATGGCCACTATCTAAATCCTCCAGGTAAGTCTGTCTCACTCCTAGTATAACTAAACTCCATCGATCATGAATTTTTACTAGAAACTCGAGAATAATTCTCAAACCTAGTCAATAGTGAATAAATGATAAGAACTCAATAGATATTTCTTACTAGAAATTTTTAATGTGTTAGAGAAAGTGAGGTATGACTGGTCAATAGGCAAAGACAGATATATCAGGCTATAGTAAATATAAGAAACTTTTTATATATAACTTTAATTTCACTCTGTGTCAGCTGTTAGCATTTCGTATCAATAAACTATTGCTCTGGGACATGTTCAGTTCCCAGTTTTTAATCAAACTTAGAATAACTGAATTAGCTTGATCTATTTTGTGATCTAGGGTTCAGTCTAATTACTTAGTCTACTAATTAAGTATGACATTGTGAACGCAAAATAACATTATTTATTCTTTGTAACATCGATGAAAACTTGTCTGAAATATCTTAAGTCATAAAATGAATGCCTCTTGAAAGCTGAGGCTTGATAGTGTATCTGACTGAACTATTATAAAATTGACACTTTAATGTATACCTAACAAACGAAATGTATGATTAGGACTATAGAAAATATTTTCAATGATCTGTTTAGCATTTCTGAAAATTCTATTCAAGATTTCAGTGATATACTTTTAATTCAAAAAGGACATTTCATATTCCTTTAATCTGGAAACCTATGAAAAACATATTTAACCTTCTTTTCATATATCAGTTTTGTACTGACAGAACCAAAGTAATGTAGTAGCAGACTGTAATCTCACTAACAATTGCTTATATGTTATTATCCTAAAAGATTTATTTATAATAAGAATTATTTGGCAAGTACAATTAAGTTTCCATTTCATAGACATCTAGACCTAAACATTTAACAGGTCAGGTTTAACCAAGGCAGAGACAAACCATTCATTGCTCAACTTACTTAATCAAACATGATCTATAGATATTAAGGGGCCCTGTTGAGGACTTTAACATCCAAGTAAGGGGATCTGGATACAAAGATTAGTTTGGACAAACCATGAAAACGTTCTGTTTGTAGACTGGATAACGAGAACTGATTTCAGATTCGCTATCATCATCACAATGAAATATCAAATTGAGGTGAATTTATCTCGCAAAAAATCATGCAAATGGAGTCGCTCCGAGAAATTCCCTGCTTATTATTACGGGATTTTTATCATCTTACAGTATCTCTAGGTTTACTGGTACTGTTGTTACAGATCACTGAGAGAAACAGATACTTTAGAAATATCAATTCTACAACCGTTTTAGTTACCTTACTACTCTTGTAGTGAACAAGAACACAAGCGGGGACAACTAAATATATTGCAACACAAAATTACCGAATCTCTCAGCAAAATCTGAAAACCATCCAGTAAATAGTTCATTTGCGAAACGTCAATCAATCGTTTCAGACTTGAATGTTCCTTCGTTTTCACACCAATCATTCTTTGTTTTCGTTGTCTTTTCTTAGATCTTCTTAATATTTTACCTGCAGATATTTCACTTTCAACTGATGATAAATACTACTTATATCTATCGACGTCAGTAGCCCACACTATACTCTGCTGATTTCGTTCTATGTTCCTTAACCAGTGAGTATTAACTAGGTTAAATAGAAGTTTAAAGAGAATACTGAACATTAAACTGATACAAAATTCTTCACCCAGACAACAAACATCTCTACTTTCCAAGAGTCAAGTAGAAATCATGATCAAAAAACTGAAAATGGAATCTGCTACATAATTCTGAAATGAATCTACTATTTTATCTCTTTAAAAAATAGGGCTTAATTGATCTTTGTAACAATCAGTATGGTATAGGTTTGCTGTTAGTTGAATCTAAGTATTATACTTAATCATAATTATAAGATTCTCAAAAACACAGACGCATCCTATTAGTTATTTAATTTCTAATTTCCTTCATGTAATTGATTTTCACTCTGAGTTTACTAAGTGTGAGCTATTGTAATTGCATTGAACAAAGAATAGTCTGATTTATACTCTGGTTCTCTATTACTAGTCATACGTCGATTATCTTGAATAATTTGATCTAGTTTGTGTAAACCGTATTTTGTAGAGATTTTAGTAATCTTAAAATTAAATTCATGAGTCAATTGAAGTTAGACAACCATGGAAAACCTGGAAATACTGGACGGCCATTTCGTTCTAATATAAGACTCCTAACTAGTTCGCATTCACGATTCCACCTTGGAAGATTCAAACCCCAGGGCCTATCAGTTTTGCATGCGAACGCTTAACTTCTAGATCACGAAACCAGTAGCCTGGATCCTGGGTTTAAATCTCGCAAAGTGGAATCGTAGATACACACCTCTGAGGAGTCCCATACTAGAATGAATTCGACTACAAAATCGTTTAGTTAAACAAGCAAACAAATAAATAAATAAATAAATAATAAAACATCAATTTATCAACAAATTATATTTATTATATCATCTGAAATGTTATTACACAATATTGAAATGGTTCTCTCGAAACAATTCAATGAGTTCACTTGTTCAAATGTCAATAATTTTTTTTTTTAATTTTTAAAATCAATAGTTACTTTATTATTTGACTAGAATCTGTTCGTTAATTTATTTGTTATTTATTTATTTGTTTGTTTATATTTTCTTCTTTTTAAAATTTTTCTTCTTTAATATTATTATGGTGGTACAGATACTAGACCAGCTGGTCCATGACCTAATTTTTGTGTATTTAATGTAGTTTTTAATGGACGAAAACCAAGTTCTTGAACAGGTATACCAAATTGTTGAAGTTTTGATTCACATGCCAATAAAAGATCATTATGTGCCTAAAATGATCAATATTATTAAAGTAATAAAATTTAAGGTATACATGATTGGGTTTAAACTAATTTGAATGAGTGAACTTTTAAAGTTTATATTTATGTAATTAATATTCATTAAAGAATTGGTGTCAATAAAAAGCTAGACAACGTTACTTACCTACATTTGTTATTCCTTGTGAAGGAGAATAGGCTGCTCACCAGCATTCTTCATCCAACCCTGTCATGGGCAATCCTTTCCAGTTCCTTCCAGTTGTTATTCATCCTTTTCATACCTGTTTCCGTTTCCTGACGTAATGTGTTCTTTCACTTTCCAATTTCCCGATTCCATTCACGATTCCAAGTTAAGGCCTACCTTGTGATACAGTTTGGTGATCTTCGCAATATTGTCCTATCCACCTCCAATGTCTTTTCGTAATTTCTTTTTCAGCTGGAAGCTGGTGTGTTCACTCCCACAGAAGGCTGATACTGATGATATCTGGTCTATGGAAATTGAGTATCTTGTGTAGACAACTATACTTGTACTGTTTTGATGATGGTTGTAGTAGTTCTGTATGTTTCAGCTTCGTACAGTAGGACTGTGTTGATGTTCATATTAAAGATTGTGTGTTTGACATCGGTTGCGAGTTGTTTTGAGTTGCATATGTTCTTCAACTGTAGGAATGCGGCCCATGCTAGACCACATTGGGTAGCTATTTCTTTTCATTTTAGCACTTCTCAACAGTAAGGAAGCGAACATAAAATCTCATGCAGTCTCAAACTCAGAACAATCATATCTCAAAGAGAGTAAAATACATTCAAGTCATTGAGCCAGAATTCAATGGTTTGGATTAAGTGAAAGTGAGAACTCAATGACTTTGTAGTGTATAAGTCAGTCACTCAGTCATGTGCATCTTAAAAACTGATATTTATGTACATTGGTTCAAGAAAATGAGAGGATTGTCATTCACCTTATAGACAACAATAAATGCCGAATATTTCTCAACGAAATAACTCGTGTTCAAGAGGTCTTATACTATAAAGAGCTACAAAACCATTCATTAATCCCTCTCTTCAGTCGTACAGTATCGTTTGTATAAACTATGGTTTAGATTCAAGGCGACCTGGTTTCTGTTTTCATATCGTCATAAACGAAGTATCTTCATAAGACTCTTTTTTTATTTATAGTCTTCAATTTTCGTTAGATTCAAGGCTTAACAAATTTAAACGCGAAAACGTTATCCTTTAAATAACATACTACTTAAGTAGTCATTGAATATTTACCTTACAAACTCTTGCCAATTCATACTGAAGTTCTTTGATGGTGCCATTTTTAGAATCTAAAATATCCTAGTAAAAAGATTTAAACAGAGATATAGGCTCATTTATCTATAAAAATTTTATATTTTAAATTTTATAAATATTCATTTTTATAAGTAGTATGAAACATTCCATCGAAATTTAATTTTCTTTTACACAAAGATGGATAGTGGCTAGCGGCGAAATCCAGGACGCGCGTTCCGTCTTATTTGGGACTCGTCAGCTGGATATATCTGCATCCCAGAGTTGACGTTCACTCCTGGACTCAAACCCGATACCGTTCGCTTCAAACGCCATAGCGTTATCCACTTAGCTACTGAGTCCTGATAGGACAAAACGCGCGTCCTGGATTCCACTGCTAGCCACTATCCATCTTTGCATAAAAAGCTTGTGACTTAAGGCAATATCGAGGCAATCCACACAGGATGCACATATGCCAACATAATACTGATCAATTGCAGTCTTAAATAACAATGGGAAGATACAAGTAAAACAACATCAAGTGAATTTGGATATTTACACAATTGTTCAATGAACTTAAAGAAGAAATTCTCTTGAGAATCTGACCGATTTTTTTACAAACCATTATCACAAGGTTTAGAAATTCGTTAGGAACTTGTTGTAGGAGGAGAGACAAATCAGAAATTGAAATTTTATTCTTTATTGGAATTCATATAGTGTATTTAGAACTATAGAGTATGTTCAAAACAAATTTATAGGGAATGTTAGTATAGACATTTCTTATATTCGTGTCGACATAGTATTCCAAGGTCAAAAGACTAGTTAGAGATTAAAACGAAGCGTCCTACTGAAGAAGGTCGAATATACCCCTACTCAAAGTTTCAGCCTAAATGTTCATATCTACGTCAGAAGGACAATCGTATGTATACCAATAATTTGTGTGTATTACATTTCTGCGTAACAACTAAATTTTCCTACACAATTCAGTCCCTTCATTTGTGTAATTAGGCTGATGTACCATAGAGAGTATGTATTTTAACTGAATAAGATATAAGATAAAAACACATATGTAGCTAGACTACTCAAATGTATTAAGTTAAGGGTCCAGATTGTAGTTAAAGTGAATTCTAATTGTATTTCAATGATTCAAAAACATGTAGGTTATCCAAAGACATTTATAAGCTATACTATATGACTAGATTAGTTTACTTCAATCAGTACTAATTTCTAACCGTCTTAACTTACAAGTATTTCATAGGATTTACCAGTTTAACATTCACCTTATGTAAAACAGCTGAAATCAATATCAAATTATTTGTTTGTTAACTTTATAAGCAAATTTCATCAAACTATGAATTTTGAAAATCATTTCTCTTCAATCGACCATTGTCACACTGGTGAACCTAATATTTGCATGTAACTCTAAATTGCCCACAATTTTTTGCACTAACTGATCAATTAACTACGACCAATGATGTTGTTAAGTTTGTTTTACATTGTTCCTACTCACTTCCCCTCCACTCTTTCGTGTATTGTTTTATACTACTTATTGCTATTCAGTAAACAATTGTATTCCCAGCAATTTTTAAACTTATGTTGTAATGCAAGTTGTCGTCTGAAATATTTACATATATTTATAACATTTATTGTATTTATCATTATCATTATCTACAGTTTTGTGCATTTGTTTAATCACAACAGTTTCCATATCGTTTTGCTGTTGATTCGGGTTTCGGTTGTTGATAAACTGTCATCAAACTTAGACACAGCTATCAGCTGTATTTTGTACTATCGTCCGTTGTAATTATTATTTATGTTAACATTACAGGAAGCCTTTTTCATTTCATTCAAAAGGACGCGTAAAACGCCACAGACACCTCACAAGTTGAGGTTTGCAATTAATTTTTGTGTATTATTCAATATAGAACCGCTATTGTAGACAAATCGTTGTTTTGCGAACTTCGGTTTTGCGCGTATCTTAATTGGGTGACCTGAACGAGTCAATAGACCTAACATATGTGCTTTATGATCATAATTTTTGATGGGATTCCCTCTATTAAAATGGTTCAAAATAAAAGTATCCAACTTTGTTTGATATTATGAGAATAAAGATGGTAAACAAGAAGCCTTAAATCTAAGTTTTGTACCAGTTAACAATTATCATGAATGATATTTCTACAATCTTAAGTAAAATAAAGTACAGATTGAGATTAAAAATTTTGTTAAAAAACACTTAATCCATGACTTCTTGTTGATCACTTCTAAATTCTTGTTACTGATAGCTTAATTTCATAAAATTTATACATCATAGCTGTTGAGAAAGGAATGATTAATTTTCATCTATTTTGGATATGGTGTTTATCCACACTAACTGTTAACCATTCATTAAAAATCCAATAGTAATATCATAGGAATCCGGTACATTTTTAATAAATTAGCTCAATACTAAACCTTTATGAAATCGAATGATCTGCTCATTTATTCCCTCTTTGAATCTTAATTAAATCTTTTCTTTCCCGGATCATGGGAATTAAATTTTTTAAAAAAAGTGATCGAAATGGCAAGTGTAGATTATGATCTATAAATATTTGATATCATAAGCTAGATTAGTATAGATAATCACTAAAAATTGAAAGGAACACAATAACTATTTTATCTTAGTATGGAATTCCTTAGTTACACGTACCCAAGACCCTCTTGAATATCAGACCCAGAATCTTGAAACATCAATGCAAGGGCTTAACCTTCAAATAATTAAGTCAGCCCCTAGTTCTATATTTAACCAGTTTGCAATATTGCATAAAGATCGTCAATAATGACAACTGATTCCTAGAAATGTCTGGGACACGCACTGCTAATGGAGTCCAATGATTAAATAAAATAGTTATGTAATGCTTCTTTATGTACAATGGTTGTCTCGTTTGTCAAATCGTAGTGTCAACTATAAATTATTTGTCAGAATGGGGTAGTGAAGATCATTGAATTTCATTGAAATGATGAACCGATCTATGTTATACCATGACTGAAAATCTGGGAGCACTAAATAGCCGTTTAATCCTAGTATGGAACTCATCAGCAGTATGCATTCACGACACAGTAAGTGAGAATCGTACACTGGGCCTTCAGTCCTATTTAGATCGGGTCATGATTTAAGTGAAATACAAATCATTTTTTGAACACTTAACATTATAACAGGAACTTTCTTTGTTGATATTCCAGAAAATAAAATTTCAAACATTCCATAAAATCTTTTGGAATGTAGGGTAAACAATATCCAGATTGATAATAAATCAAAGTTAAGAATGAAAGTAGTGGGTTATGTACTGAGATGATTTAGAAAACGTCTACATTTAGGTTCTCACTCAATAACTAGATACTAAATATTGTACATTGGTAATTATTCATATGAATACTAAAACTTGCATTGACCGACGTCTGGTTATTATCACAATTATATATTGGGAATCATCTTCATACTTATCAAGTTAGTTCACTTCTAGAATGTTAAAGGTCTTGATTGTGTGAAAACAGATCATAGAAGTTTGTATTTTGTAATTCGTTTAATGATTGAATGATGACACTGTATACATACAAAATGTCCAGACTACTCTATTTGATCTTTTTTTTTGAAAGACAAATTAGAAGTCTGTAATGACAGCTTTGGTAATGACATTAAATAGAATATAGTCATGGTGTATAACATCATGAGTTTCTTCCTGAAGGACAAACCATGGATTCTGTCTTATACGTAGAGGTTCACAGTCTCTTGAGAAATCTTTTGTCGAGAGTAACCAAATTTAAATAGTGCTGATGGTTTGTTGCATTATAACAATGAGCCCATACATTCAGAAATGATCATCTAGAAGTTTTAGGACTATAAGTCGATTACTACGCTAGAGTACATTACTTGCTAAATCGCCAAACACAGCCTCTTGAGATTTTATTTTGTCCCAGGAATGAAAAATGATAATGGGATGGGAGTTATAGAAATGTCAAGACGATAAAACACGAAACAATGCAGATAGAGAGCCTCATTTTTGAGAGGTTCCAACGGTGTTCAGGACGACGGAAACACAGATTAGACATGCACATTTGTGCAAGCCAAGATCACCTTGAAAAAGTCTAGAATGACGTACTTTGACTTTGTGACAAGAGTGATTTTTGACTCTAATTCGAGTACTTACTAAAGGACCAGTACACTACCAATTTAAATTGTTGAGGTTAATTTATCAAGCTATTGACAAACTATAAGTAGTTTGACTTTCGTAAAACTGAGAGTGGACAATCATGTTAAAACTTGAGATTTCAATAATTTTAGCCAAAACTTTGAGGTTAGTTTAATCTCAGAGTAGAAAGATTGTAACATATGAAAAGAACTTACGCCTAATTTCCTTGATACTGTTGCCATAGAGATAGGATCTAAATTACTTGCTGATAAAACTTCACTTAACTGTGCTTCTTTCTTTTCAATTGTTTCCGTCAGTGCAGTTAAACGTTTCTCTAACAATATATTCTTTAATCCACATTTCTGTTGAACTTCTTGAATAGCTAGTACAAATTTCTCATATAAATCATTACGTTCACTTTCAATCTGAATCAATAAATATTTGTAATTAGCACAGTCAGAATATTTTTTTGAAATACACGTTAAAAATCCATAATATTCAAACAACGATGAAAATAGTAGTACAGTCATATCAGTGACTTTAGCTACAAGGCTGAATTTTGATGGGGTCTACTGAAATAACAGATGCTTGTAATTCACCCAGTCAGTCTAGAAGCACTATGAGGAGCAAGGATATCTTAAACATCGACTGACAAGTCTACATACTGTTCGTAAGCAGTTGTGGACAGAGAAAGCAAGAGAAATGGAAAAGGTAATAGCAAAAGGCAACAATGGACAGTCTATCACATTAGTCGGAGAAACAGGTGTTAACAACTTTCGAGTTAGTGGGAATATTTCTGAGATTGGGGCAACAGCATAAGCTCCTTGAATCTTAATGAAGTGGAAAATTCATAGCTTATCTAAAGCATGAAAAGATAACAGGCTCTGATCAGTTGTTCCTAGAGGTCTTTAGCGATGATAGTTCCGTTTTAGTAGTTAGATTGACTGAGATACTAAAATCTGCGAATCGTACGTAATTGCACCTGAAGGGTTTCTATTACTGATCGTCCAGAAATTCTCTGGCAAAAATCTCATAGAGACCTGTTTTACTAACATGATGTCCACAATATTGGCCCCGACAACCACCTGATGCTTAACTAGGACTGGTGAAGAGGAGATCGGGCTGGTTTCAGATCGGGCTATGGGTCTACCAACCAAACGTTCGTCTTCTGTCAGGTTCTAAAACACAGGCTCACCTGCTAAATCTGACTGTAGCTTTATTTCTTGGCCTTAACGCAGCGTTAGATTTTGTCGATTGGCAAGTTTTGTGGTAGGGTCTGTCAATAAGAGACATGCCGAAGAAGTATGCTAATCATGTATAGGCTCTCTACTCAAACACTACTGACCATGTATGAGCCTACTACGAGCTGTTGTTAGGGCTGATAACATCAATTCATGTTTGTTAAGGTGGACATACATGCCAAACTCTACGTTGCATAGGACTGACTGACTGAACCAGATCGATGAACGCTTAAAGTGAGTTTTGATACAAGTTACAAAAGTGACTTTTATCAGACGTAATTCTTAGTTGAATAATCAATAAACTTCTGTTAAGTTAGTGACTTATGAGATACTTGTGGAGATACCGAGAGAATGGTTGGCTTTTGCCAACTTGAGTCATATGTGACTCAAGAGTTTGTCAATCAGAGAATGAGTATAGAGTGCTATGATTTGGTGTGTACTGGTATGCACCCATGAAATACGGCTTTTGAGAGTAAAAGATCCCAGTAAGTTGTAAATTTCTAGTAATATATCTTTTAGGATGAATTGATTGAGTATAGCCGAGCACTTAGTGAGCAATGATGAGATTAACCTCAAGGTTTCAGGCAGAAACTGGATATCAATGGACGAAATTATAAACCTTCATTTTCCTAGATGACTGGGAGATGTGACACATATTCCAAGTTACCGCTTACACATAAGGCCAATTCTGGTAGGCGTGGGATAAAATTTAAAGGGGGGAGGGGATAAACGAAGATATCTCAGCTGTTTACAATCTCACTAACTGTTAATCTGAGTAGATTCGGTTGATGGGGAATTCCAGGTCGGCATGTTTGAGATGATCGGAAATGACGGTTTGTAAAAATTTGTCATATATATATATATACTTACGTGTTTGAATTGTTGTTCCAAAATATCATATTTCCATTCAGTACGTTTCTTTTCTTTTTCACACGTTTTTAATAAAGCTTTAGTTTGCTAATACAAGAAACGAGAAAGAAAAACCATTCATATTAATAGTTTTTAAAACTGGGAATAGTTCTCACTAAAGGGATTCTGGTTAGCGTTTATTTAGAGAGTTAGTTTTCTACGGGATAATTGTTATATTCAAATTAAATAGCTTGTAACAGATTCAAAATGTCATGCTAGCACTCCTAGTTGTGATCGTCGGAGTGTCTGACACTATTAATAAGTGTTATCGGTTGACTCTATTAATAAATTCAATTGCATCCTAAGTACTTACTGAGTGATTGACTAACTCTTTCTCTGGTTCTCTTCTTTTTCAACTTCTTTACGTGCGTTGCTTTTCACAATCCCCCACGTATCTAAGGCTTTTACGGGATAATGGTAAACTGCTACAATACTATTGACGAAACAACCTTTCATAGTATTACTACTACTATTACTACTATTATTATTATTATTATTATTACTACTACAACAACTACTAATTATTATTACTATTACCATTACCATTATTATGTTTTCATTAATAACTGGCCCAAGAAATGATTTTGCATTTTCAGTGGGAAGTTATGAACTTTGTTTTCAAGCAAATTGTGTGATAAGTCCTTCAGAGGTAAAGCTTACGACGTTCTTACATTTTGGAGGCTGTGATCAATGGGTCTTAACGTATTAGTTGGAAGGTATCACGCTCCACGTAAAACCTGAAAGTCGTGTGTCAGATTATGTTTGAAGTTGTTGATGTTAGGCGCTAAAGCGCTTGAAATTATTGTTGCATATGATGTAAAAATTATCGGTGTTTGTTAAAATTCCCACAAATGACCTTTGAGTTCAGCAGAATGCCACATTACTTTTCAATAAATCATCTTAATGATATTATTGGTAAGTATTTGCTTCATTCCGTTGTTGTGATAAAAGCCTCATGCTTTCTTTGAATCGATCATTATAAACAATTAGCAAAATAAACGAGATTATTATGTGCAATAAAGTTATGTTAACACGGCATACAATGGACGGCTCAGAACCGATTAGACGATTTGGACTTCGCAGATAACCTAGCCCTCCTATACAATACACACGAACAAATGCAGATAAAGACAGCCAGCATAGCAGCAGTCTCTGCATCACTAGGCCTCAAAATACACAAAGGGAAAACCAAGGTCCTCAAACACAACACGGAGAACAGCAATCCAATCACTCTTGATGGCAAAACTGTGGAAGATGTGGAATCCTTCATATACCTGGGAAGCATCGTCGATGAACAAGGAGGTTAAGATGCGGACGTAAAGGCGAGGATTGGCAAAGCAAGGACATATGGAACTCAAAATAACTTTCAACCAACATCAAAGTCAGAATCTTCAATACCAACGTCAAGGCAGTTCTACTGTACGGAGCTGAAACTTGGAGAACTACAACAACCACCATCAAGAAGGTACAGGTATTTATCAATAGTTGTCTACGCATGATACTCAACATCCATTGGCCAGATACCATCAGCAACAGCCTTTTGTGGGAGAGAACCAACCAGCTTCCAGCGGAAGAAGAAATTAGGAAAAGACGATGGAAATGGATAGGACATACATTGAGGAAATCATCAAACTGCATTACGAGACAAGCGCTAACTTGGAATCCTGAAGGGAAGCGGAAAAGAGGAAGGCCAAAGAACACATTACGTCGGGAAATAGAAGCAGATATGAAAAGGATGAATAAGAACTGGAAAGAGCTTGAAAGGATTGCCCAGGACAGGGTTGGATGGAGAATGCTGTTGGGCGGCCTATGCTCCTTTACGAGGAGTAACAGGCGAAAGTAAGTAAGTAAGTAAAGTTATGTTACTTCTCGTGCACTTTGTAAATTAAATGACTAGTGTTTTTTTCTTTTAGGCGTATCAGATAGCACAATAATATATCAAGTACTAGACTAAATATACGAATATATTTCAGTATACATAAATTCTAGATGAGCCTTCCTTTCTATCGAGGGAATATAGGTCAAACTTAATTGCTCACACTATCGAAAATCTTCCTGCAAATTCAAAATTCCTCCACTTTTTATTTTAGAAATTATTGAAAATAACTTGCTTTTAAAACAATCTTGTCTTTCTCATAGTTAGCCATTTGCCTTTTCATCTCGGTGTTTTCCTCTCTAGCTTTATTTAAAGGCTCTACTAGTCGGCGGTTTTCAGCTGCTATCTCATTTGCTCGACGTTCTAAGCGTTCCTCATTCTTTTTTCGTTCCTCTAGTTGTTCCTGTATTTATAATAGAACAAATACGCAATGATTATTACACAGCTAAACTACTGTATGAATGTACAACTGGAGAAAAGGAAACAAATAAAGTTATTTGGTGTCAATAGTTAGTTTAACTTAACTTTTCCCAGAGCTCATAATCGAATACAAACTTAATAGATGTTTTGCCTTCCGGAAATATTACTTGTGACGGTGAGACGAGTATTATTGCTACATATAAATGCTAATAATGCGGAATCCTCTTCCATTAACAAGCTTTTATTTAGGTATTATCAATACCAAACCAGATTTGCAAAAAAAACAGCCTAAACAATTTGCTGAAAATTAAGGAATGCTAAAAGCATATCAAAAGTGGCTAGAAATATGGGTGAAGCATAAAATGTTTGAACAGTACTTTACAGCTCCTAACTTTTTTGAAGTAAGTGAGGTGGTTCTGAATAACGTTTAGAAATAAGTGATAGCTTCTGCTACCAAGTGCATTTTCATTAGCATTTCCATATGTTTTTGTATATATCTTTAATATATTACTCCGAAAATGCCTTAAAAAATAAACTATTTAGTTCGCGAGTCAGAATACTTTAAATTATGGTCATGAGGATTTTATGTACCAGAAAGTAAAACCTGTCACCCTGTGGGTACAAAATTCACCATACTATGACAATACTTCCCAGAAATAATTTAATCACAATTAAAAAAGATAACGAAATCGATCGCAACACGTATTTTGTTCTTAAATTTAGCTAACGCAATGCCTGTGACATTTCAGATGATACGGTTACCTGAGAAAGGGCACAAGCGATGGTTAATGCCAAATTCATCTTCAATAATCGTTGAAGACATCCGAAATTGTTTACTTATGAGTAGATAAGCCTACTAGTGATATTTTTTCTGTAGCCATTTTATATTGAAAATATTATTAACAAGTAGGGCCCTTCATACTTACCTTAAGTGTGTTTATTAAAGCTAGGTTATTTAAAGTTATATCATTGTAATAGTTCTTCATCTCTGCATACGATTTCTCATGACTACGCATAAGAGCATTTATATGATTATTTTTTCTCTCCTCTGTCTCATGTAGTTCATTTTTCCTTTGAAGGTCAAGCTTTTCCCTCAGTTCTTTCGTATTTTTCATGTATATCTTTTTTTGTTCCTCCATCTTTCTTTCAAAATCTTTTCTTATTTCGTGCATCTAAAAAGTCGCTATTTGATCCAATTCTATTTTTTGTTACTTCATGTTCGTGTTCTTTCTCGAGGGTTCTGACATTATCTTCATTAGAAAGCTGAGTTTCTCTCAGCTTGATTTTTAAGTTTTGTTCGTCTTGTCGTAAAAGTCCCTGAACTTTCAAATGTTCTTCTTGGTTGATTCGAATAGCAGTTGCAGTCTCCGCTTTCAATTCAGAAATATTATTTTGATGCTCATATAGTAAATGTTTGACCTTTTGTTTGTAAACCTACGAATATTCAATACATTTATGCTAGAAATTTTTTACTTTCAGTTCTAACTGATGCCTTTCTTCAGATTCTTCCATTTCACGTTCTTTATTTCTTAGCTCGGCTGACCGATCTTCGAGTTGTTGTTTGGATATTTCCCAGAACGTATTCACTTTGTCTCTTTCTAGCTGAAAGTAATTTCTCTCTTCTCTTTCTCTTTCTAGCTCTTCTCGAAGTCGGATGATATGTTCTTCTAATTCTTCCTTTGTCATCTCTGTTGTTGAAACACCATCTACGACAGTTGGTGTTTTGGACTTAGAGGAGGTTGAAGACTTTTTCCCCTTCTTCTTTCCAGGCTTCTTTTTGGGTGGCTAAACATAAATAAAATCATTTTCCTTATTTTATTCTAACCATGTTCTGAATCTTGAAAACGTTTCGTAACCGTAGTCAATACAGTGAATAGTTCAAACAACATCCAATATTTAATGTCTTTATAATGGGTGACTAGAAACCAAAAGATTTCTTCGTGCCCAATTTTTGATATCACGAGTCTAAAAGTATAAATGTCCAGGTTCTTCGGATATTTATTTTCCGTGGACAGAGTCCAAATGACTTAAGTTAGTTCTCTTCTTCCAGGTTGCTTGCGTTCAGTCATCACTTGAGTGAGTAGATTGAAAAGTCGGCTAAAGATTTTTAGGTGACAGATCCTCGGGGTGTATTGTGCAGTAGAAACGCTTGTATTTCACGAGGATATAGATATTTCTTGGCTTCTTCATTCACTTTTTGTTTCCTCGATTCCCTAACCTTGTTGGGGGGAGGATACTATATCATGTCTAGTAACATTTCTTTGCGTCTCGCAAGGTGTAAATCACCTCTTACTCACGGCGGATTATTGCTCGGAGGTTTAACTGTGAGGTGGTTACATGCACAATGACTAAAGCCTCCATGGATGCTTACCAAGAGCGGACCATTGGACTATATCAGGTATATAAGTAGCCTTTTAAATAGGAGCGAACAAGCCGCACCATTTTACAGTTTTGCTCTTGCTAAGGGTTTTTGAGGAATGACAAATATATTTGCATTTAATTGCGAGAGAGTTCTTCATAACACCTACAATGTGTTAAAATCTTTAGATCTAACAGTTTGTCGGTGATCCATTATATTCAGGTCATGAGTTATTTTTACGCCTAAAATTTTTCTAGAAAGAAATTATGCCAGAGACGTCCATTAAATTGTGTGGTTACTGCTGTTGTATACCTTATGTGCAGTGTAGCTCAACTGGTTGAGTTGAAAGGCGCCTCGACCCTGATAACTTTTCAACCATTGTCATCATTTACAACTTTCCGCCATACCTTAATACCATTGACGTAACATGCTATTGAATATTGAAAAGCACTCGGAGGGTCATGGTCGTCTGAGATAAATAATAACAATTTTTTAATCTACACACGTCAAGGTACTGGCTCTCAGAACATAAATGAAGTTATTAGTCTCCCTCTCTGTTATTAACTAACCAGGAGTTCTTTGGTACATCTAAACAGATGCCACTAGACTCCTTATGATTTCATAGCCTACCAGAAGTCTAGTTAGCAATAACCATTTCCATACATCCATCTTAATGATATACAACTAGTCTAGGATGAGCAATAGCAGACGAAAATGACGATGTTGGCCTACTTGAGCATTCTCCTGGTGATTCTAGGAACTACCCAGTCCAAACCACCTTGTACAACTCTTGGTCACCCCAACGCTTTGACACACAAGTCACTTCGTCCCCTTTGGCTCTCTTCCTCCTAACGGCGTTGCTATGAGGTCTTTAACCGTGGATGGATATTTTTTAGTGTTTATGGTTAGTGTCTGTATACTCTGGCCTAATGGAGGACGAAAAATTTCTTTTTGATTACAACTGTTCACAACTACAATAGCTCATTAACTGACCCTCATAACCACTCATAGATACACAACATATCCATTCAACTCACCTTACACCACCTATTATCTTAGAACAAGCTTCTTTTTTCCATTACAAAACCGTCAAATTACCTCTTTCCAATTTACCATATTAAAAAATAGAACGAACCTGAATTTAAGACCACACTCCCTCTCTAAATAATATTAACCGTACCTGCTAATCACTGCCTGATTTTTTACTAAATAAAACGACTCATTTATGCACTCTGTTGCTTTCAAGTAACTCTTCACTTGTTCAAATAACGGAAATTTAATTGTCCTCAAATGTTTCGGGCCCACAACTTTTGACATACTTCCATAAGCTCTTATTCTATGACTAAAGCTCTAAAGTGGAAGACGATATTCTCATATGTGCATCTGGAAACATGAGAGATGAAATCTAAGGCGATAGTAAACTGAATAGGGTACTTAACCCGATAGGGTTATTGTACACCTTTTTGGCTATGAAATACCAATAATGTTGTGCTCCAAACACCCCAGTTCAGCTGATACTACTATATGTGAATCATTTGCCAAGACAGTCCCTCTAGATTTCTCATGAGACATTATTTACTATGATATCAACCTATCAAGCGTCGACTGGCAGAAATACTCTGACCCACAGTGATTTGGAAATATACTTAGATCCTTAGACATACGCGGTTGGCAACAGTTAATGTACCTACCTACGTGATACCATGATTTTCTCGACCCAATATTCTGTCACAATGTCACACCGACATCCGTAGCGGTCAGCGAAAAGTTTCACAACAGCAGTTATAAAATAACTCCATCCGCAAAGGTGTTTCACTCGCAAAACTCTTAACAGTGATTTACCCAATAACTCACCCTTCCAATCCCAAACCACAGTACTTGAAACCCTCTACATAAAGTTGCTTGGTTGGAATTTTAATTCATTACTTTGAGTTTACAGCCAAGTTCACCTACTCCTATTATAATGTAGTTCTTGCCCAAAGCAAGCATATATACAAAAATTGCGGTAAAATACCCGGGGTCGAAATTCAAAAGAACTATAAAGGCTCAGGAAGTCTTCTTCATCACTAAGTATGCAACAATACGCAACAATTTTGCCTCAGATATACTAGTGGCGGACGAGTTGCATGAGCTTATAATACTCCTTGACGAATCCTTCACCTGTGTTAGTTTACAGACACAATAGAGAACATCTTAGTCTTACTTACATACAATGGGCTCTCTATAAACCTAAATCACGTCAGGATATGAATTTCCGCTTTTCCCTCTTTGTCAGAGTTGCATTAGACTCTTCCTCATGACTTAGTGTCCCGTCTTAGTTTTTACTTAGAGCAAACAGGTTACTCACTGAACCTATTGCTACTGCTCAGCTATGGTCGGTCTCAAGATTGTCACACCACTATTCCAACTAGTCATCGCTTGCACTTTATAGTTTGCATTTTTTTGAGCCTGCAAACCACCACCTGGTTCAATTAGAACAAAACACTTTTAACATCATACCAATCACCATGTTTATAGTAAACAGCCATGGAGCTAATTCTTACGCCTGGAACACAAACCTAACTTGTGCGCTTGTCAGGGTGAAAGCTTATACCAAGCTCCTAACACGCATTACTTTATAACAACTATGAACTTACTAAACGATTCAACTACACGAATATTTCGCTATTAACTCCCATGAATGTTCTGATGTAAATCTTTCCTGATCTTGGGGCAGTCACAGTGGAGCCGGGGATCACCTGTTGAACTACACAAAGCTTTTCAACATTTAATATAAGATAATAGGAAATATAATATCTATACAAAATAGCGAAGTGGATGAATAATTCAGCTCTATTGTTTTGACATATGCTTGTTTGTCTGAGGCTGACTTGTAGGTCTATTATTGGAGCAGTACTAATATCAAAGTAGACCATAATTCCACAGACTCTTCACTAACCTACTTAAGCCATTACAAACCCGCGCTGTTTACTATTGACCATCCATTATCAATGAAGTATTATTTCTGTATTCGAGATAAATTGTTTATGGTATTTTTTGTCATTATCTCCGAAGCTGGTTCGTCATTGGTAATCATTTAGTAAGTGAGGGATTCTCAAAAGTGACTAACCACAGACTTATTTTTCCCTAGCCATCCTCTATTACCTAAAATGAGCTTACCTTTGTAATTAGAATGAAAGTTCTTTGGTACATTTCCATCCTGTCTCAGTTACCCGAAAAGCCAGTATATGCCAATTGTAGAAGAAAGACACTGTTCTTGCGATTTAGCATGTCGTTATAAAGAACCGAAACTCCATCAGTTGGATTATACCGCTGCCTATTTTCGGTGTTTGTCATGTTTCCCAAGGTGACATCTAGATCTTCCTTGTTAAGTATGTTACTAAACTCACCACTTTCACATGGCAGGTTGCAAGCAATGTCACACAAACAGTCTGCGATCTAACCCAACAATGACCTACATATCGTATGAACTACAATCATTCATACATTCGGTACTGGAAAAGTGACTTACCTGTACTATTTTACAAAGTTATAAGTTTCTTATATTTGTACCTTTCGATAATAACGAGTAAACGGTTAAGAACATGTTATGAGCTCGTGGCACTTGAAGTTGGTTCCGAACTTTCTGTGACGGCCATTTTGACGTTTACTATATCCTTGGTCTCTCTCATACACTTTCTTTACATTTTGCTAATTTTATCCAACCAGAGAAGTTGCTTTCTAGGAGGGTAACAGCATAATTTTGTGGGCTTATTTAGGTTATGAATAATGATACCTTACTTTATACTCATGTAGTGTGGCGTCGAGTCACGTTCGACTATGAAGAAGACTACATGACAGTTGACAGGTTAGATCCCTCCGTAGACCAAATATCAGGAAGCAGTTGATGGCTTTAGTCGAGATGTATTTGTTGGCAATCTCGTGGGATCGAAATAATACCGAGGTCGTACCAAGGGGTACAAGTGGAACTAATGAGCGAACGAAAGTTAGTGAAAGGTCACAGGCAACCGAAGAATGTATATTTTTAGTACAGTTAAACAATCACTGGTACGATTGGTTATAATAATAATTGCTTCAATTATACCAATCTCGTTCTCTTGATAAAAGAAGATCACTACACTCCTGATATAAGCTCCTTCTAGTAGAAGCTCATTATGGCAGTTATCCGGAGACTAGCAACAAGAAACACTAAAATATATGCTAAAAATACCCTACTTTTAACTGCTAAATGGCAGTGTATCTTACTTATATTATTCTAAACCATCAGTTCTTTGTTGTAACTCAGCATCTGTATGGCTCGTCAACTTTGCGTTGTAGGTTTCAGCTTCACATGTGTTAGTCGTGCTTTTGTGCAACAGCATTCTATAGCAGAACATATCTCAATCAAACTGGGTAGATCAACTTACTTCAATAAATCTTGCAACATTTGTAACAAATTGATCTTTACTGTAGGTTAGCAAGCCTCGCGTAAAGCATTCTTATTTAAGAACAAACTTTATTATTATTA